TGTATTAATTTTTTGTAAAATTAGATATGAATATAGAAATTTAAGTAAAAGAAATTCTTTTTTCAGAGATTTCAATTAAAAAAAAGATTTTCTTGTATATATAATTAAAAATATATAGAAGACTTTAAACTATTTTAAGTTTTCAAAAATATAATACTGTTGAATTGAAGTTAATATCATTAAGTGTTTAATGTAAATTAAGTTATGTAATTTCAATTGAAAATTATGTACAGGCATGTGATACTACCAGGTGATATAGCTAGGCATGTTCCAAAGACTCATCTCATGACAGAAACTGAATGGAGAAATTTAGGAGTCCAACAGAGTCCTGGATGGGTTCATTATATGATGCATGGACCAGGTATAACTTGATAAATGAAAATTATTTAGGAAAATATGTGTGTGCATGAATTATAAAAAAAAAATTAGCATTATTTATCACAATACAATCTAAAAAATTTTTTCAGAGCCACATGTTTTATTATTTCGAAGAATGAGAACTGATCTTGTGGCAGCACCTAGATGTACCACTTTACAAGGAGAGCCTATTACTTGTTACAATTGAATCTGACGTGATAATCTAGTATGAGATAATATGAATGAAAATGTGATGTATATTGACATAAGATTGTGTTCTACAATATTTATAAATATTTATTAATAGCTGAAGATTGTAAGCATTAAAATATGTTACGTTTTATCATTCTCATCTGCATCCTTTTACATGTAAAGTAAAAAAAAATCTCAATTATCTATCAAGTATATATCGTTAATTTCTCTAAATGAATCTTTTTTAAGAAACATGTAATTATTTTTCGTAATATTAAATAATTTTGCATAGAAAATTTGCATAATTTTTTTCTTCAATAAATTTTAGAAAGCAAACAAATTATGAAAGTTTTTCCCTAATTCCTAATATTCCCTAATTTGTATCCAAGTGTTGCAAATTTCATATATATCACATAACACAAAAGATCATTAGTCGAAAGAAAAAAGCTAATTGGAGATAGAAGTAAATTTTTAGAAGACAGGAATAAGAACCAAATTCGATTAGTTATTAATTTATTGATGATCTTATTGCTGTAAGGTTATTGCATGATAGAGATGGAGTACTCTGGATTTAAAATGTTAATCATTTTAAGCATGTATTTTCTTTCTTCGGAATTTCGTTGCTTTGCGTGTCTGTGCACAGCACGCGATGAATAATTATAAAATCTGTTTATCTATTAGCTAAACTTTTCATATTTTGAAAAGTATATACATATCATGTATATTGGAACATTCCTTGTAACAAGAAAGTCATGCATTACTGCTTATTTATAATAATTTTTAATATGACAGTTTTTTATAATTTTTATATTAGATTTCGAGAAGTGTAATAATATAATATTTGCTTATAAAATTGAATTAACTTTCTATAATTTAGAAAGCAAAGGACAGAAGATTACTATAACAAATTAATATCAAAACTAAAATACAATGTATTTATAAATACGTTTTATTATAATTAAAATTTTTATACGTTTTATTGTAAAAATAACTATTCGGGTTCAATAAAATTTTTATTATGTGACTTAGAAAACGAGATTTTATATATTTACAAAAAGTTTTGTTGGTATCTTCTTAGCATATAATTTTCCATACATTAGATATTACAATTAAGTTATATACAAGATAAATCTAAAGAGTTATTACAAAATTTATTTAGGTATATGATTGTCCAAGATTTATTTTCGCAGAGTTATTGCGATAGAACGATAATCGGTTAATATTATATGCAGATCGCGTGCGTTTCCTCCGCTAAATGACACAAATAATCAAGCAGGAACGATAACAATGGATTGATAGGAAACATTCACGGAAGCATGCGAGCCATTTAATGGTTTTTCCGTTAGTAATCAGAGATGCAGCGTGTGGTAGTGAGTAAAGAATAAGAATTCTCGTGTAGTTATCCTCCTTATTATCCCTTTCTCTGGCTTCCTTATCGATTATTTCTTAATATTGCGGGTAGGGAGACACCGCAAAAAGTATGGATAGAAAAGTTTTGTTGTAAGTTAAGAATTTAAGACGCTAGAGGCAACTATACTCGATTAGAACGATAGCTCTTGTGCATTTTGTAGCGGTTTACCGATGTTTGAAGTCTGGTCTGCATTAAATTTTATATATATGGTATATATATAATTAACAGCGAAAAAAAATTGAATAATTATTATTGATCAAATTGAATATCTCTTCGTAATTCTCAACTATGTATAAGTGACATCACAGTGAGTATATTTTTTCACATCTATTGTCTATATGTGTTTCTTGTTAAAATGTTAATTAAAACTGAAAAACTATATTTCTGTTCGTATATTTTTAGTTTCGTAAATTTTTAATTAAATTTAAAATTTTTGAATTCGTGATTTTCAATATCAAAATGTTCAATGTTTATAACAAAAACGAACGTTAAACGCTTCATATTTTAATTCTTCAAAACGATATATTAAGAAAGCAATTTTGTTTTACTTTGAACGATGTTGTTTAAATATTAATATTATTTATTATATTAATATTTATTGATTGAATACTTTCTAAACTTTAATAAAACAGATGTTTTAGGTAAAGAGACGATATGGTTCATCACTCAAAAGGACAGTCAGCAGTACAAGTAAGACGAGATTCTTTTATTATACGAAACGCGCTTTTAGTAAATGAAGCATCTATTCACGTGAAAAATGGAAGTTACAATAAGGCCATATTTTTGTACAATCAAGTAAGTTTTTAATTTATTATTAAGAAAAGTTGATTATATAAACTAAATTAAGTACTAAAAGATTATTATCAAAATATATTACTGTATTATATAAAAATTTATAATTTAGATAAAATGTTTAATTGTTAAATAATATATATTATATATAGATACCTAAGAGGTATCAATAAAAGATAATATTGTATTGAAGAGAATAAGATTATTTTTATACATATATAATTAGATGTAAACTGATATATTTTTAAGTAAAATGTTTGATATATTTTTTGTACTTTGGGGAATATGAAAAAAGGAGAAAAAATCTACAAATAGAAATATATAGAAATCTTTTGACGAATTTTAATTATTATAATAACTCTCTTATACAATATATCAAAATTGAAGAACAAAGACGAAACAAGAATTTTGAAAAGATACATGTAACGAAAAATAGATAATGTTATTATTAAGTTTTTTATATTATCTATATAAGTTAGTTGAATATTGTTTTACAACAATATTAGCGAAATAAAGCGAAAAAAATATATTATATATAAATTATTGCGGTTTTTTTTATATTGAATTTATATATAAGATGTCAATGAAGCAACTTGCGGAATAATTTCTTCAAAATAAATAATAGACGAAGCAACATAGGTACATATACATATAATATCCATGACGTAAGAATCACAGAGGTGTAATATTCTCGTGGATGCGCAGTTATATTCAGCTATCATTATACAAAATGTTACACTTGATATTCTTGTGTATCATATATGACAATATTCCACACAATTATACAAAACAGATGCTTGTATTTCAAACACATTTATAACGATATTGACACTTATTTAGCATATATAGGTATAGTTCACGTTACATATGTATTATAATTTCAAAAATAAAAGCGTGTATTTATTGATAAAACTGTGTTCTATGAATACGGGTTAGACGAATCTTTCACAATTATTTCAGCAATATTATTAATAATGCAATATTGCTGTAATGTTACTGCGATATTATTAGAACGTTGCAATATTACTATAATATTATTGGAACTTAACAATATGATGCAGTAATTAAAATTGCGCGCACTGGAATAATTTAGAACTGTAATAGAATCTATCTTATGGGTTAAAATCTTTATGAATTTTTTTTATAGATGTATTGCGAAAGACTTCTTTATGGCGGTAGACTGAGAAATGCTTAAAGAAAATGCATTTTCTAAAAAAAAAAAAATATCTCTTCATCTGTGTTCTAATTAAAATGCTAAAAATCTAGTGTCACCGTAACGTCAGCTATACATTTTTAGGCTGGTTGTGAATTTTGGAACACAGCCAGATAAGTATAAATGAAAAAAAATACGTTATCAAACTTTAGCAATCTCAAGAATAACTATATATAATACGAATATGAAGCCTGTAACAGTCTAGCTTGGATCTTACAATTAGTTGCTTATTATATAATTTCGCGTGAATTTATATACTGATATATGTAAAATAGTCTTTCTAAACTGAATCTCAAGAATGTTGTATATATATATTCAAATATACAGAGCGTTCTTGTTCTTTTTTAAGTTTCTAAACCTTTAAGAGGTAGAATTAGCATATTTGACTTATGCTGGTGTTGTTACTCGTTTCTAAGGAAACGAGCCACCTATTTTGAGGTGTCGGCAGCCACACGTATTTTGTCACGTAGGCGAGGATCATCCATTCGCGTTTCCTATGCGAGAACTCCTCGATTTCTGCTGTTACGTGCAATGTAAAAACATATGAAGAAGAAATCAAGAGTATTGCAAAGTAGATTATTGTAAATTCTTATTGTACATTTATTATTGTAATATAACCGGATATAATATTGTTACAATCAACGAGTGAAGATGAGCGATGTACCGCAAGCTGTCGTTGAGAACGCAATGTCTGCGAGCGCGATGGAGCATCACGTTATGGACATCCTGAATCCTGGCTTGCACCACCATGACCTGCTACAAAGCTACGTGCGTGTGGAAGTCTGCTCCGATTCGAAGCAGGACCCCGAAGAGTTTGAAGAACCGTGTAAAGAAGTTCATTCGAGTAAACATCCAGCAGCATTGAGCGGTGGCAACGCTCGTCACGCTCACGACAAAGGGAAGAAGGGTAGCGATAGGAATAAGGAAAAGCAAAGGCCCGACACCGCTATCGAGTCAGAGATGAGAATACAGAAGTCGAAGAGAAAGTGACGCCAGCGTGACGGCGAAGGTCGTCGGCAGGAAGAGGTGTACACCGATAAGGATCGCGCAGCTGCTGTGAACATGGGTACCACAGACATAAAGCAGTCTCTGAAGATAAAGCAACGCCAAGATCGCAGCAAGAGCCTGCAAATTCCGGAGGAAACTGAGCCCGGAGCATTGCTGACACTTGGTTTGCGCGAAATGCGCTTTGGCGACGTTAATGTCGCTATTAATTGCATTAATAAGGTTTCTACTTGTTTGCCTCGTTATATACTCGTATATACGGTCTCGTTAATTCTTTGCAGACAATCGACCGATGAGAGTGATTTATGTCTTCCGTGCATGGTTGTGCATGGCGCGCATGAAATAAACGTGACCCTCTGTGATAAAGCGAATATCTAAATCGATCGTAACGATTTATATGATTGAAACGAACTAATAATTGGGGGATTATCGATTTCGAGAGAAATATTGTTCTTAATGGGAATATAATCTATAATATACATATATTGATATGTTAATTTTAAAAATTGGCGTCTACATAATTTGACATCTTATAGTTTCTCAGAATTTTTACGTGAATTATTGAAACACGTTTCAGAAATGTACTGAAGAAATTTAATACATCTTTCCTTAGAATTTTTCATATAAAAAAATTTAAAAAATGTTTTAAAAAAATTATAACATATATTATTCATTAATTCTTAAAAATTGAAATTTATGTAAAAATTATGAAAAATTCTAAGAAAAAATTTTCTCTGAGCTAATTAATATAAAAGAAAAGATTAAATATACTTGGACACACATAAAGAAGTTTCAGGTTTACAAACGTATTTAAATATCTATCAATTTGTCCACATCTATCATTAAGCCACAAATATTTCTAATTGTCAGTAGTTAAAGTATTGTACTGGTAAAAAGATTATTGAAATATAATCTTTTATAGGTAATAATATTACAAATATGTTCATATAATTTGTATTTAATACAAAAGAAATATTTATGTGACATAGTATAATAAAATAAAATTTTATATTTTTATTTGAATTTTGTCAGGACATTTATACAACATTTCAAAAAGAGATTAAAAATAATAAAATAAAAAAAGATTTATAATTGAAATATATTTAAAAATATATATATGAAAAGGAATTTAAAATGTTTAATTACCGCATAAAAATAATAACTTAGTGTCTTACTAATTTTTTCAAAGCTTTTTAATGAAGACATTATATAAGAATTTATTCTGGCAGGCACTGGAGTTAAATCCGAATGACAAGAACGCTTTGATAGCACGGAGCAAATGTCATCTTTTACTGGGTGATCCACAAAAGGCCCTCGACGACGCTGAAGCGGCTTTACGATTAAATCCTAAGGATTCTAGCAAGTCCAAGGCGGTATACTGCAAGGCGGAAGCTCTCTATCATCTTGGCGATTTCGAAATGAGTTTGGTGTATTATTACCGCGGGATGAGAATTCGTCCAGAATTTGGCGAGTTTCGCCTTGGTGTCCAAAAAGCAAAAAATGCGATACAGAATGTGTTACGTAAGAACTAATAACACTCGTTACTTTTCTAACAAATTGATCCTTAGATAATTATCCTGATAATACATGTATATGATAATATACTCTGCAATATAAAGAAATGTATGCTTTTTATAAAATGAATTTTATGAAAGACAGTTTTAATTTATAGTTCATCTTGTAATTTATTTGTTGAGACACTAGCTGTTAGAGCTTTCAGTGAAAAAGTTATAGATATTCAAGCAACTGTATGTGAACTATTTGTGTAATTTTGTATATTTCAAATCTGTAGAAAGAAAAAAAAATTAGACTATGTAAATTTTCTTTACTTTTTTTTATTAAATTTAATTTGCTGGTAAATTATATGTATAATAATTGAGCTTAATTTTTTCTATAGTACATTTGTAAGTATAATTATATTATATAATACAAAATTAATAATCTTATCACATCAAATTAATTAATTAAAATGTTTTATTAATTTTCTTCCTTTTTATTAACTTTAATTTTTTTGAAACAGATGAGTTATTAATTTTTTAAAATAAAAGTATAAAATTTTTATATTTTCTATATAAAAGTATAAAGGTTGAAGAGTCGCGCGAATCTTCTGATTTGTTAGATAAGATAATCATATAAATAATCACATTAGTTTATCGTATTAAAGTTAATTTAAAACATTCATTTTCTTTTCCTTTTAATTTTGATTCTTTCAACGGAATATATAGAATTAATTTCTTTAATAAAAGAGTGAATTCAATTTTTTATTCTACATTAAATCGTAATCACTAGTTTACCGAGCATAGATAAATAATAATATGATATAATCATACGTGAATTTACCGACATGTCATTTTGTGAGCATTTTCATTTTCATAATTGGTATAGATGTCGTATCAGAATTTTACTATATATATGTATATATGTTTCTTACAGAAAATGTCGAGACACTCGTTCTGCGGAATGACTGCAAATGACTGTTAATTGTTGATGCGTTGGAAGCGTTTTTTTAAAGATATGTGATGTACTTTGAACCTGTCGAGTGGAAACCGTAGTTCGAAACAGCTACAACAATTGTGATATACGTCTCTAGCAACTGGGTTCTCAATTTATAACTGACATTGACTGACCAGCGATTCAGTTTTTAATCATTGGCCACGTATCAACGAGGATATTCTATACGCTAGCATATTGCAAAAGGACGAAAAATGATTAATACAGGGTAAGTAATGTTTTATAGTTTCGAATTCAATATAGTTCCTATATGATTCAGCAAATTTTCGTCCTCGACATTTTACAATAGTATTCAATTTACGTAAGTCCATTTCATTATTAGATTGCTACGTGGAGTGTGGACTCATTTTCATGATTTATGTAAACACACATAATGATAACTGTAAAAATGTTTTTAATCTGTCAGTTGTACTGCTCATATCAAAGTTGTATGGATTAAAATGTTAATTACATTATTAATTTTGTACTTAATTTTAGAAACATTATTGATAAATTTATCGTATATATCGAAAACAAAAATTTATTAAAAAACAAGATTTGTGATTGATGTAATAAATATATTAGTTGTGGACAATCAGTGCATATGACCCAATTTATTGAACAAAGTGATAGAAAAATTTAAATTATTAGTTTTAAATATTTTCTCTCCGAGTTTGTATTTAAATATTATGTTTTTAATAATATATATGACCCTAAATCAATTTGTTTATAAAAATTTAGTAATGAATTTATTTAGAATTATATATTAAAAGCTTAATATTTGAAATGTTTTATTACTTAATAAAACACTAATAATTGATTCATATCCACTAACTGGTATATTTATTAGATCTACAACTTAATTCTCGACCTCTATATTTAATCGACTACAGCACTTATTCAAATTTGAATTTTTCTTACCATACAGTCGTTTTGAAGTGTCGTCCTTAAGCTTTAAAATAAGATATAATTAAGTGTTGGTGCTACGAATCTAATTTAAAAATATAGTAGTGAAAATTATGTCGTTCAAAAAACAACATTTGAGGCACTGCCTCCTTTTCGCGTTCCAGCTGAAAAAAGATGCCGTGGAAGCTTAAGAAATGATTTGCTCGGCTTTAAGCAAAAATTCTGTGTCATACAGTACATGTAAAAAGTGGTTCCTAAGACTTTACGATGGCAATTTCAATTCGGAAAAGATGAAGAACGAGACCAATCGAAGAAAGTGGAGGATGAGGAACTGGAGCAGCTTTTGGACGAAAATTCTTGTCAAATGCAATCAGAGTTTACAAATGCACTTGCGGTAAAGTCTGATCTACAATTGCGTAAACATAGTTGTAAGTGGTTGTAGTTGTAAGAATTGACCAATCACAGTCGAATATTCTCCTCGTATTTAACTGTGATTAGTCAATTCTTATCATTACAATCACTTACAACTATGTTTACACAATTGTAGATCGGGCTTAAGTCAATAAGCTATTTCGAAACGTTTGTGGAAACTTGGTAGGATATGAAAGGAGGGTCGTTGGGTTGGGTTCCACATGTGCTAATGTCTGAAAACAAGGAGAGACATCACAATATAGCTGTTGTCAAGGTTTAAAAAATGACTTTCTATGCAAAATATTGACTTGTGATGAAAAATGGATTTTGTATGGTTATTCGAAGAGACAAAAATCTTGGATTCATCCAGGTCAACCATCAATTGCAAAACCAAACATCAGCAAAAAAATATTGCTGTATATTTGGTAGGATCAGAAGGACATTGTTTACGTTGTTTATGGAGCTGTTCCAACCTGGAAAAACGGTTACTGCTGAGTGTTATCAACGTCAACTGATTCGAGTAAGTGACACTCTTGAAGTAAAAAGACCGTTTACTGACGCTGGAAGAAGGAAAGTGATTTTGCTGCAAGTCAATACATGGCTGTACATGGCAAAATCAATGATAGAAGTTATCTTCAATTTGGGCTGGAAAATTCTCCCTCACATGGCGTATTCTTCGGACCATCTTTTCCGGATTCTCTAACATTTGGTTCATTCCCAGTCTCTCAAAAAAATCGAAAGAAGCATCACAGAATTCATCAACTCAAAACAACTATCTTTTTTCCAAAGCGAAATCCGACAGTTGCCTGGAAAGATGGCGAAAATGTGTGAAAAGTGAAGGGGACTATTTTGAACACATTAATTTAATTTATTTCTTTTATAACTTTACATCGAAACTTTGTAAAAAACCGAGAATTGAGTTGTAGACCTAATATCTTATACAATACATACATTAAATTATTATTTTATATTTTAAAACTTAGATGTAATGAGTTATTGCAGTATATTATTAATATGTCTCATAAACGATGTATATTTTGTTATATGATATATAGTATTTAATAATACATCCAGGTAAACAGTAATGCTATTGTAAATTTTGTGTTGTTGAACAAGGTTGTACTAATTATTACCAATATTTGACAGGAAGTTGGCCGGTCGCACTATTTTTATAACTGGAGCTTCGAGAGGTATTGGGAAGAGTATAGCTTTGAAAGCAGCAAAAGATGGTGCAAATGTTGTTATTGCTGCAAAAACTGCCGAACCACATCCAAAGTTGCCGGGTACCATTTATACAGCGGCTACTGAAAGTAATTATCGCTTAATTTTTCAACAGATTTGGGTTTATGGTACAATCTGACAACGATACATACATTTATAGGTATTGGTTTATGGATGAAAAGATATTCTGATTTTTACTAAAAAATTTAATATCTTGAAAATTATTTTTACATTTGTGTTAAATATCAATATTAAAACTATTGAAATTATTACAAAAATAGAATATTCATTTTATAGATGATGCATGTTAGCCTAGTATAAATCTCTTTTTTATTTATATTTAATTTAATAACTAATTGCGTATAAATTAAAAAAATTGACTATCTAAAATTATTTTTATATTTATGTTAAATAGCATTATAACTAATAAAATTGTTAATTTTAATGTTGATATCTAACACAAATAAAAATAGGATTTTATAGGCAATATATTAGCCTGGTACATTTCTTTTTTTTTTATTTAATTTAATGAATCTAAATAATCTCTCAGTTGTGTGAAGGGCTAAGAGCTGGTTATGTATAAATAAAGAACGTTTAATAAACAAACAATCAAATAATATTTTACATGACATATTAATGGATTTCATTAATGGAAAACAGAGAATTTTTGATATATTTTATAGGTTTGCAACTTTTTTATAATATTATGAAGTAATTTATTTCAACATTGAGATGACCAAATAAACGTCGAAACGTTTGTGTTTGTAATTATTTTTATTTTCATCTTTGTTTATTAAACGTTCTTTCTTTATACTTAACTGACTTTTAGCCCTTTGATTATTTAGATTTATTCTTATAGAGCCTTATTATTACTTATTATTTTAATTTAATCTTTTTTAATTTAATACGATTAAACACGTAAAATTTAATGAAGTTAATTTTCAGACTATTACATCCGGCTAAGTTGATTAAATCCATCACTGAAAAGCTATTCTAACTTAAAAATTTATGTAGAAAATATATTTTTCAGTTGAAGCAGCCGGTGGTAAAGCTTTACCTTGTATTGTGGATGTACGCGATGAGAAGCAGGTGATTGATGCAGTAGAGAATGCTGTTGCCAAGTTCGGTGGAATAGACATTGTTGTGAATAATGCAAGCGCTATTTCTTTAACAGGCACTCTTGCAACCGAAATGAAGAGATACGATCTAATGAATAATATTAATACCAGAGGAACTTTTCTCGTGTAGGTTGTTTTTCTTACACTACATGCAAATTTTTTATGTTTATTATTTAAATTAGTGTTAAATTAATATCTATATCATAATCTATAACAGTCGATTAAAAAAGCTGTTTAATATTATTATATATTCTCAAGTTCGCGCTGCAAATTACCAAGAAGTAAAATTGTTATAGATCGAAAGTGTGTATACCATATCTAAAAAAAAGCACGAATCCACACATAGTTAATATAAGCCCGCCATTAAACATGAAACCGATTTGGTT